ATTTTATATAATTTAGTAACAATAGGTCTAAACTCTCTCTCTCGTCCGAATATGAACGGAGCCATATCAGTTCTACTGGTTGGGTCTGACTGGACTCTCCAGCCTCCTTAGATTGTCGATAGTCTTAACTGACATATACCAATTTACTTATTGTATATATATGTACATACATAAATGCATATGTGTATATACCTAGTCCCATGCATATCTTCTTAATTGCAATAGATTTTGCTTTATATGTGAGCTATTAGAAAGTGATCTGATTCATTAAAGGTGCCATTAATCTATTAGTAAAACAGTTCTTAGACTAAGAGAATATTTGTCAAACCAACACACAATGAGATTTATGACATATGTATGTATGTATATCTTGACAGCTCATGTCATAAATATGCATAAATAATCCTAAAATATAAGTCTTTGTATATTATGGAAAGGGTACGGTACAGAAATGTATATACGGGTATACCTATGTAAATACATCTATAAATATGTATGCATATGTATGTATGTATGTGCCTATAAGTGTGTATAGATATGTACATATATATCTTTTTATATATATAGATATATTCCTTTTCATAGTATACAAAGATTTATTTTGGGTTTATTTTTAAACATTTCGTTAGTTAACGAAAATCGGATTATAGAAATTTAGCTAGCAACTGACACGTGACATGACTAACAAAGAAGAGACTAGAGTAGGGAGTGCTCGACTAGAGGATACCCTGAAGCCCGTGCTTATATGTCTACATATATATATTTTATGCAGGAAATTTATCATGAATACACACACAGACACTTATACACTTATATATAGATACACACACACACACACACGTATGCTAGGCGCTTAATCAGCTCTAATTTTCATTATGGGCTTTACTATGAGCCATGGCTGGTTGCATCATTTCCATTCCAAATGCGCTTTCATTATCGAATTAACTAATTTGCCAAAACAGATGTCTCTACTAATTGATATACGTATACACTGTGAATCATGGAAATCTCTAGCCAGAGATAGAGGATGAGAGAGAGGGTGCTACAGCTCAAGTAACGTTTACAAAAGAAGCTAAAATAATCTATTCTTTTAATTTTTTTTTTTTATAGCAAAGAAATCAGGAAAATATAAATT